TTGCCAATACCAGATCCAGTATGGCATTCCCCCCTAGTGGGACCATGTACCTCCTGTGTCAGGTGGAGGTCTTGTACACAGGTTAGAAACCTGCGTGAGTGGTGGGATTTTGCCGTCTGTGTCTCCCAGCAGATGTCTGGGTAGTTTAGGTCCCCCATGACTACCGCCTCTTTAGCTTTTATGGTCTCCGTGAGCTGCCTCAGGAGCCCTGCATCTATTTCTTCCCCTTGATGTGGGGGTCTGTAGCAGACCCCTACCACCAAATCCCTTTCTCCTTGCCCCCCATGTAGCCTAACCCACAATCCTTCTACTTCCTCATCCTTTGATTCCGTCTTGATGAGGGTTGACATATATTGCTCATTGACATAGAGTGCAACCCCTCCCCCTTTTTTCCCCACCCTGTCCTTTCTGTACAATCTATAACCCTCAATATGTACTGCCCAGTCGTGGGATGAATCCACGTGATAGAGCCACATGCAATGGCATAAACTGAGGTTCTGACTTTTATGTACTGTGGGGCTCAGAATGACCCATGGTGAACAATGTGTAATGGATTGCAGAGCACTTCCAGGGAAGCTGCCCTTACTGCCAGACTTTACCCTCTGCCCCTTCTCTTAAGCCTGAACCCCATCTATTTCATAACTTGGTGGCTGGGGCCCACTCCGAGGAAGCTGGAGTGTGGTTTTTAATCCCTGTGACCTGGGGAGGGCCTATAGCCCAGGACTCAACTTCCTGGGTGACAGCTCCAATTATTTGGCTATAGTGAAAAAGGGGGTGAAGAAGGAGGAACCTCCAGTAAAATTGTCACCATCTTCCCAAGTGAAAGGGGCCATGGGTATAGCTCTTGGCATGGGACTCAAGGCAATCAGTGGAAGTCGGGAATACTTGGAGGATGTCTGAGGTACTGGACCCCCACTGGGGATTTTGGTACAGGGTAAAAGCCTCATTTTTTCTGATCAGGATCACAGCAAGGTAGTGGCCAGAGTTAATGCCTCATGTTTTGAATTGGATTGCTTCTGAACATGAGCAGAAGTCTTTGCCTGGGCTCCTGTGAATCTTGCTAGGCAGAATTGAAGGTGCCAGATCAATTTTTGTGACTTAAGTTTCTACATTTTACCTAACTCCTGCTTTAGGTGCCTAGTGATCTGCTCAGGCAGGAGGTCAGGAGGTCTCATACACAGAGTACAGAGCCTGGTATGAACTTCAGCTCATTGGAGTCGGTCACAGAAGAACAGATCAATGACACTGAAACCACAGAAGATAATTTTAACATGCTCACTGTTTGTGCTATTCCATTCACCCACTCTGCTAAGAATGGCCCAGTGACCAGCTAGGTACAGAATCCTGGAGACATGATTATAGAATATACCGGTGGAATGCAGATGTCCATATACTAGTCATATGCCATGGCAGCAAGAAGATAACTCTAGCACTCTACAGACACAAAATATGAAGACCTCAGCCATACATACATCCAGTGTAAGAGATGATTTTCCTCTCTTCAAACATATCAGTCAGCAACTTTGGGTGATAAATATAGAAAAACAGGGATCTAAAAAAGCCAAATCAGATAACTGGCTCTATAGATGCAGGGAAAGCAATGGACGTGATAAACCTTGACTTTAGCAAGGCTTTTGGTAGTCTTCCATAGCATTCTTACAAGCAAGCTGAGGAAGCATGGGTTGGATGAATGGACTGTAAGGCAGATTGATCCAGTCGGATTTCTTCAGTCTCAATAGGTAGTGATCAATGGCTCAAATTCTAGTTGACAGCTGGTATCAAGTGGAGTGCCCAGGAGTTGGTCCTGGGGCTGGTTTTGTTCAATATCTTCATTAACGGTTTAAAAGATGGCATGGATTGCATCCTAAGCAAGTTGTGAATGACACCAAGCTGGGGGGTGTAGCAGATACGCTGGAGCATACAGCTAGGATTTAAAGTAACCTAGACAAATTGGAGGATTGGGCCAAAAGAAATCTCATGAGGTTCAACAAGAACAAGTGCAAAGTCCTGCACTTAGGACAGGACAATGCCATGTACCGCTACAGGGTTGGGACCAATTGGCTAAGCAGCAGTTCTGCAGAAAAGGACCTGAGGGTTTTAGTGGACAATAAGTTGGATACTAGTCAACAGTGTGCCCTTGTTGCCAAGAAGGCTAACAGCTGTGACGGGCTGGCTGGTAGTGATTTAGCCCAGGGGTTTTGAAAGGGCAAAAGATGATTGGAGGACTTGGGATTCCCTTTCCTCACCAATGAGGCCCCAGAGACTCACCCTCCATGTCCCCTGATTGGCCCTGTGGGTCACCTGGAGGGGGATAAAAGGGGCAGCACAGCTGACTCAGAAAAGACACCAGCGAGGGACCACAAAGAAGGAGCTTCAAGGAGTTGGCAAGAGCTGAGCCAGCGGGGCAGGAGCAGTTGCCCCAGAAGAGCCTGAAGGAGTGGGACCTGCAGGCAGTACTGGGGTCCTCAGCAGCATGGCGTCTGGCTGGCAGGAGAGGCTCCCCACTGGGCTCCAGGATCCCCTATGAGAGGCTGTGGCCAGCAGGAGAGGCTCCCCAGCTCCAGCAAGATCTCAGCAGTGACCTGAGAGGTTCCCAGCTCTGCTTCCAGCTCCTCCAATCAGAGGCCAGGCAGCTTGACATGAGGCCAGGGCTCCAGGGAGGTCAAGACCCTTAGCAGCTTGGTGTAGTACCAGCACTGGTGGCTGTGTGGCAGAGTTTCTGCCTGCTGCTTTGGAGATCTGAGTTCAAGTCCCAGCTTTAGTGACTTGGGATGAGTGAGCTCATAAGGAGGAATTCTTCTTGCAGTGGAAAGGGGCTGTTGTGTTTTCCCCCTCCAGGTACCTAGACCCTGTATTCCTTGTAATTTGATGTTTTGTATTTTGTGCCTTTTGTATTTCCAGTAATACCAACTAGTATTGTTTGTTCTGCTGTTTGTGTTTTACATTTTGGTTAACCCTGTCCTTTGCCAACTAGATGAATATGTCTATGATTGTAAATGTCTAACCTTCGTTGAATCCTGCCCCTTCGGGGCATTGTAGTATCCCCTATACCCCACCCTGGTTTATACTGGTTATGTTCCCAGTATTTTTCCCCTCATTAAAAGGTATATGGTTAAGTCCCCAGTGGTAGTCTGGCTCTGCTGTATAGGTGGAGGAGAGTCCCTACACATCCTACAGTGCTTGTGCACCTGCTTTGATCCCTTCAATTGGAGAGGGAGTACTGCCCGGGTTACACAGCATACTGGGCTGCATTAGTAGACGCGTTGCCAGCATATTGAGGGAAGTAATTATTCCCTGTATTCTGCACTGGTGAGGCCACATCTGGAGTACTGTGTCCAGTTTTGGGCCCCCCACTATAGATAGGATGTGGACAAGTTGGAGAGAGTCCAGCAGAGGGCAACAAAAATGGTTGGGGAGCTGGGGCACATAACTTAGGAGGAGAGGCTGAGGGACCTGGGTTTATTTAGTCTGCAAATGAGAAGTCTGGAGGGGGGGCAGCCTTTAACTACTGGAAGGGTGGTTCCAAAGAGGATGGAGCTAGACTGTTCTCAAAGGTAGCAGATAAGAGAACAAGAAGCAATGGCCTTGGGGGTCTGTAACAGGGGCCCTGCTCGGAGCTGATCTCACTGAGCCCGCCCACCTGTTCCTGGGCTAACTGCCCGCGTTCTTGCCCACCATGCCTTGTTGGTAATTATTTAATAGATGGTAATTAAGCAGAAGGCTGCCCATTTTCTGCCCCAATGCCAGGGGGCGCTACCTGCGGCTCCATTCCTACCCTACACCACAGCCCAAGCCTCACAGATGGCATCTAGATGTTCTCATCATCACCAGCCCCCACACTGGGCCCCAGAACCCTACTACTGAACCCCACCTGGATTCATCCCTTCAGGCGGACTCTTCCATCATCATACTGGGCAACATAGCTCCCCGAGCTGATCCCCCTTCAGGTGTGGTCCCCCCACCGGGACCTTCAGCTCTCTAGCCCTGGCCCACCTCCAGGCCAGTTGGAACCCCAGGCCCTCAGCTCTTGGACGTTCCTCATGGTGGGCCCCTGGTCCTGGCCCCAGCATGGACCAGTCAGGGGGAGTTCAGACAGGCCTGAGTCTATGGCCCTTTCCTCACTCTGAGGGTCCACCCTCTCTGGGCCCTCCAAACTAGGGGTAACCCACCCGGTCATGGGGGCTAGGGGTTAAGGTGCCCTGACCCGCCTTTCACCAGGGTGGTAACTGGCCTGGCATTTCCTTGGGGCTCCTATGCCACTGGGAGCCCCACCAGGCCACCCACCTCCGGCAGGGTGCAGTTTTAGGTCATACCCTTACCATCCCCTACAGCTCCTCCCTTACCTCCAGATGATATCAGCAGCCCTCCAACCAAGTAGTGTTGTTGCCTGGTCCCCAGCATCAGAACTGCCCTGTTTATATGGGCAGCCCTGAATCTAAAATGGGCGCCCTCATCAGGCACCTGCAGGCTGCTGCCTTCTGGCCCTTAAAGTGGCAGGCACAAACAGTGCCCTGCCACAGGGTCTTAGAGCAAGTGTCTCCCTTCCTAAGCTATTTTTGTGAGAGACTGCAGCTGCCAAACTGAGAGGGGGGCAGCTGGTATATGGGGAAGGAAATGAAGTGTTACTTTCTCAGCAGTGTGCTGCAAACCCTGGTCCCTATCCTATAGTCAGACTATTGTGCCCATATAACTATGGGGCTCCGACCCTGAAATGTTTTTATTTTTTGACTTCCTGTGTACCCATAACTTCTCAATTGCAATACTGCCTTAAAGGTAGTATTTCTTCTTTATTTCCACATTCCATAAATAAAGAGAGAGAAAGGTTTCATCTAAGGCAAAGGGAATTAGAAAAAACGTTTTAATGCCCATTCATGAACATATCACTACTTAAATTTATAATGTTTTGAAATGGGTTGCTGCTAAATTTAGAAAAGTTATGGAGAGGTACCCTGAGACTACAAAAAGCTGAAACCCATTGATCCAGGCTTTGCCCACAGCACTCTCCTCTGGTCAGCCATGAAGGCAAGAAATATAGAGCCAGCCTCAGTGAGATGGATGATGCCTTTGAAAAAGAAGAAGCCTGGACCTGGTCCCTGCTGCTCACAGGGCGTTTCTACATGTGCATTTATGCCATCTTAAATTTACTTAAATTTAGATTTAGCAGGAATAGGTGGGCGTCTACACGTGCAGGTAACCTGGGACTAAATTTAGTCCCAAGTCAGAGCATCCTGCCATGTGTCCCTGTGGCCACTGGGGGAACCTCCAGCTTCTGGCCACATGGCTGCCAGCACTTGGAACTAACTTCAGTCCCAAACTGAAGCCAGAGGCAGCTGCCAACATGTAGGACTAACTTTAGTCTCAGGATGAAGCCAGGAGAGGTGGCCAGCACTTGGGACTAACTTTAGTCCCAAATTGAAGCCAGGAGAGGCAACCAACCAGGAGCTCTGGGCCTGGGCTCAGGTTAGCCCCCTAAACCCAGCAGGGAGGCACTGTGCAGTAATGCATCTACATGTGTATTACTGTGCAGTAACTAATTGGGCATAAATTTGATACCTGCATAATGCAGGCTACATAGTAATTTTGGTAACTGCAAAGTAAATTTGCACATGTAGACGCGCCCCCCAGTGGGGTAGAAATTATCCTACTTCTGTGTATCCAATAAATATTAAATGCAAGGTGCAGAAAATCCAGTGTGGGATGGGGTAAATTCTGAAGCCAGAGCCAGAATCCAGTGTTTGATCCATTCCCAGGCAGTTTTTTGCTTTTCTAGTTTTTTTTCCTGCCTCACTTTTGGGGACATATATGTAATCACAAGCTTAACCGGGCAATCCTATTCTACCAAAGAACCTGTGGAGCTACACTTAAGTTTCCTCACCATACAGAAGGAACAGAGAGGACTAACTTTGCTATGCAGATGAAAATATAATCTAAGACTTGTGCTAAATTTTGTTTCCATTTGGGCATATGAGTGGCACTTAGACAGAGAAAGATGAAATACGATTTGGCCCAATGACTTCTAAATGACACTTCTTTTCCCCTTTGCATTTTTATATTTGGTTATGGTGAGGATTCTTGCCTTATGATTAATTTGTATATAACAGCTTTTATGGAGTGCATGAGTGTGTGCATTTTCATGTGACAGCACACACACATCCAGATTGTATTTTATCAAATTCAATCTGAAAGTCTCTTGTGCCATCCTGGGTTGGGAAAGTGGGTTTGTAGGAAAACTAATCATCATGAAAGGGGATTAGGAGGTGGCCAGCCATCCTGCATGAAAGGAGAGCATGTAGAGGGTGAAAGTTAGTTGTATAAGTCACTCAGTAACTGGCAACCATAAATGTCCTTGTAGTCCAGAGCTTTCCAAACTGTGTGCCACGACACATTAGTGTGTCGGAGGCAGTGTGTAGGTGTGTCGTGCGAAATGCAGAAAATTTTGCGGAAGGGCACCGCAGAGCTCCCTTACTCGCGTCTGCTTCCCTTGGCCCCTCCCCTGGAACTTCCTAAAGCAGCTAATGTTAAAGCAGCTAAGCCTTAGCAGCTAAGGCTTAGCTGCTTTAGGATCGTGTGGCGTCTTGACGTAGGACGCACGTGATTGGCGGTGTCGGAGCGGTACGGCGAGGAGTGTGGAGAATTCAGAATTCTCGTTGGAGACTCCTTTAACGGAACAATTAACGGAGCAATTAGTTGTGAGTTACACCACCCCCAACTCTTGGCTGTGCTGAGCGGAGGAGTCCCCCGGAGGTCCTGGACTGGGACTGCACCGAGCGGGCCGTCCGCCATCTTGGCCAATCGGAACGGAGCTCAGTGGAGGCCAGAAGCCTCGGAATCAGCGTGCTCCCAATCACCCGGGCGAGCGCAGCTGCAGGCTGTCACCCAGTCAACCCACCTGCTGCTGGCTGAAGGTAGGCCACCCTCCCAAACCCAATGTGGCAAACAGCAAGCCACTCACCACGTGGCACTTATAATTTGATTTCTGCCATTTATTTTTATTTTTACTCTGCTGTAATTGTGGATTGACCACCCACCGGCAGTGTACCACCGGAGAGTGCTGGAACTGGACTCTGGACATAGGCGTTGCAAATATTTGCAGCAATATAGCCTTGTAGTGAGACATATATATTTACACCATTTTTGTTGGACTTTTGCTTCTCTACTTCATGTGTTTTTGCAGCTGAGCTCCTACCTGGACCTATGTGTCCTAATATGTATTGTAAATACTTTAGTTAATTTTGTTTATTTTTCACATTTTCTCCTGGTCCTGATTCCTATCTTTATCTCACTTTATCACTGTGGGAGTGGAGCGCAGGTGCTGTTATTTTCATAAGAAAAAACAGAGAAAGATAAGCGCTAAAAACAGTCCTGTTATTTTCATATTTAGTTAATGCTAAAACCTAAAAATAAATTTGCATAGATTTATTCATTAAATTGCAGTTGAATTACCCGTAAAATGGATAAGTTTCTAATTAAGAAAAGAAAAGCTGGTGAAGATGACCTTTGCGATGAACAAAATGTAGCCGCTATAGAGGAAACTATGCAAGAATCAACTGTTGAACGGTCTGTATTAGTACATAAGAAGTGTAAAGGAAAAATTTCCAAGCCTCGTTTATACAATAAAGATTATATGAAACTGGGGTTCACATTTTCTGGTAATGAAAACAATCCTTGTCCTCAGTGTTTAGTTTGTGGGGATATACTTGCAAATGAAAGTATGGTACCAAATAAATTAAAGCGTCATTTTACCTCAAAGCACAGTCATTTGTCAGAAAAACCAGTAGAATACTTTATTGAGCTTTCAAAATCTATAAAGAAGCAGTCTGCATCATTCACAAAGAGAATGAAGACATCAGAGAAAGCTCAAAAGGCAAGTTACTTGGTTGCTCAAATAATTGCCAAAAACAAGGACCCACACACTATTGCCGAAACCACCATAAAGGAATCTTGCCGTGCTATTGTTCGAACAATGTTTGGGCCCGAATTTGAGATAGAAGTTAATAAAATCCCTTTGGCAGATAACACGATATTGGAAGACGTATTCAAGACATGTCTGATGACATTAAGCAGCAAATGAAGGATATTTTTCAAGACGATAATATGATCTTTACATTGCAATTAGACGAAGCAACAGATGTCAGTGGGTTAGCACAATTATTGGTTTTTGTACGTTTCATTCATACTGACAGAATTATTGAGCAATTCTTGTATTGTCTAGAACTTCCAATGAGAACTAGAGGTGAAGATATATTTATAACTTTAGATTGCTTCATGAAGGAAAATAATTTGCAATGGTTAAATTGTGTAGGAATATGCACAGATGGCGCGCCCTCAATGGTTGGTTCAACAAAAGGTTTTATAGCTTTAGCAAAGAAAGAGAATGAAAATATTATAATTACTCATTGCTTTTTACATCGCGAAGCACTAGTCGCGCAAACCATTGGAAATGAATTAAGAAAAGTTTTGGACAAAGTGGTTCAAATGGTCAATTACATTAAAAGTAGACCTTCAATCAAGATTATTTGCTCATATTTGTGAAGAAATGGGGGCAAGGTTTAAAAAGCTTCTACTACACACAGAAGTTCGTTGGCTCTCAAGAGGTCGAGTGCTTTGTCGTGTATATGAATTGAGGGAAATGATGCTTAAACTTTTTGTGGAAAATCAGCAAACTGAATTCTGCAATCTAATTCAAAACAAACTTTGGTGCACAAAATTGGCATATCTTGCTGACATATTTGAACATTTGAATAAAATAAACACCAGTATGCAAGGAAAAGGAGAAAATATCTTAACAGCGGTAGATAAAATTTGTGCTATGAGAGACAAAATAGCAATTTGGAAAAGGAAAGTGAAAGAAGGAAATTTTGAAATGTTTTCCAAAACTGCT